GCCCTCAACCCCACACTGCTCCTCGGGGGCCGTACTATGGCAGCCCACTGTTCCCTAAGGGGATGGGTTAAATGCAGAGAGCGAATTTCTTTAGTGTGAGATCAATAAAGTTCAGGTATTATCATGTAGTCTGACAGTTTCAAACCATTACAGGATTTTCAGTATGTTAAATCATGTTCTTGTTTGAAATCCTGCTAAATATTTACAAAAATTATGTCCTGAGAAAATTCAAGAAAAAAACAACAAGGGGGGGCTAAAAAGACTGGATTCAATACCATTGCCTATAAGCTCTTACCTGAAGTACACCAAAGAATAACTCAACATTCATCACCCTGAACCATGAATGTCTGTACAAAACTGCTAATTTTAGTGAAACGTAAAAGAAACAACAGAGAGAGCACAAAGAAGTAAAACAAATGAGAGATTTTGAAGACATCACAGGAAACTCTATTCAGAAAATCCTCTTTAGATTTTCCTAAAGGATTGCACTGTCATGCTTTGTAAATCTGCATAAACATCTCCTTTTTCCACAAGGAAAATCCTTACAGGAGCCAGTGACAAATTATGTTCAACAAAAACTCTGTGTGAATTATATAACGGTAATCTCTTTATGGAGCGTGCTTGAGTCACAATTTCCCTTTTACTTTTCATATGGCTCATTCATAATGTAGCAGGAAAGAATGCGAGTCACAATTCCTGTTACACTTGGCTGAACAAGAAGTTAACATGTCAGCTTTGCAGAGTTTGCGCTTAATCAGAGTTTAAGTGTAGCTGCAAACCTCTAGAGGCTCTGTTAGGATGATTTTAAAATGAATGATTATTGTTTACATTAAATAAAAAGCGTCTCCTGACAGAAATATAACTTTCAAGTCTTACTGTCAGACTGTTCCCATATAAATATATTCTTGGTCATGGTTCAGAGGACTTAGATTGATGACAAAGGTGTATATAAATAGAGTGGTGAGCAGAGGTGATAGAGAGCGAGGGACAGATGATGGATGGCAAAAGGAGATGAAGAGACAAAGTAATGGAAGAAATATAGGGGAAGAGAACAGGAAAGAGTATATTCAACTTTTGTCATCAGATGGCCAGTTTTCACCTTCAGATCGAGTATTAGAAACCAATTTTTTATGCTTTTATTTAGTAAGTCAGTAGTTGTTGTTTCAAAGTTGGGACTGTGTTCTCAGACTTGAACGCTGCAAGTCTAGGAACACCATCCTGTCTATTTAGAATTGTCATGATCTCAGCACTGATGCCTGGTCTGATCTCTTTAGCCACTCTTTAGCCTGTCAGCCGCACTGTTTTCTGTACCTGGATTTTCCACCAGTAGAAGAATGTGGAGTGTGTTTGTTCAGAGATACTGTTGACCTGCTGGTACATGATTATGGATGGTTTATTTGCTTGTTGTTGTCCTGCATCAAAAAGGGGCTCTAAGAAACTGTGCACAATCTGCCAGTTCAAGATCTAACTACCATCTGTGCGACAGGAGATTTTTTTAGAAGGCCCTGATTGACAAGTTGGGTATAGGCCACTCGAAGCCAGGCATGCCCAAAGCTGGTCCTCGAGGGCCGGGGTCCTGCAGGTGTTAGAGGGTTACCTGCTCCAGCAGGTTGTAATGTAGTGTTTGCTTTCACAACTGCTGAACACATAAGAAACTGTTAGTGTTCTGACAGAAACTACTGGGAAAATATCCTCTTAAAGGTCTATTGAGTTTTAATAGTGTAATTACTGTTGCATAAAAAGCTTAAACATCTTCTATGGAATTCATATTTTAGTTTTTTGAATGATTTGTGAAGTAGTGTTAAACACAGCCAGTTCGAGAAGCCAATATTATGAACTAATAACCCTGCAAAATGAAATACTAGAACACGTTTTAGTTATTTGAGCTGCAAGGGGGAGACATGACACTGCAGAATAAAAGTCGAATCAATAATTTAATATTTAACAAAGGAAGACACTATAGAACTGAATTGAGCAAAACCATGTACAGAATAAATAGAGCGCCTGACATATTTCAGTTCACCTGTTTAGTTTTATGTTGGACATTATTAAGGTTGCTTCTGCTGCTTTTATGATTTTAAATTTGCTTGCTTAATTTGCTTTAACAAATGACCTGTGATTAACTTAAGTGCATAAAAGAGTGATCTCATTTTTACGGGAATGGATTCACTTGATGTGTATATAAAAAAAAAAGAGAGAATAAGAAAAACCTCCAGGGAGGCAGAGCAGAACATTTTTCAATGACACACACTTTTAACACAACTAGCTCTTTTAATAATGTTAAAGTTGTTACTGATGTTGTTTTTTAACAGACATAATGTTTTCATAGCACAGATCCAAAAGATGCTTTTAAGATCAGAAAAGTGCAAAGAATGGAGCAGGACTGGAAGGACCTCTGGGCTGTGGCCTATTTGACATTTGGGGTCCTTTGGATGATTTTGTGTGGTCCCAATCACAGTTCAATAATGATTCAACATTGGCTTGATTTGTATGATATTACTCTTTCTGAGACTGAAACCACAGCAAAATATATATTTATTATCATTATTAGCAACACATTTTTGCTTCCACCTTAATTGAACAGCAAATAGGAAAGCAGACATTCGCTGACCTTAATTTAAAAGCAGACAGGAATTCATTAAACTTATGAACAGAAAACATTTTAAAAGACTGTGAAAATCCTTTTTAGTTGGTTTTCTCTCATTAGACCCAAGATTTCTGAAAAAAGAACCTGCATTGCTTTTCTTTTTTCTGAAAAAAGAAACTGCATTGCATCATTTAGGTAAGACATTGGTGCATGTTCTAATCAATATTTAGAGATCCTATTTCTTTAATAATCAGAGTAGTTTGTTCATTTTCTTTTAAAACTTCGGATGTTTCGTCTTTTTAAACTTAAACACACAATTCACAATGAGTAGGTCTTTGCATTTGACTTTTTTAAAAGAATTCTGTATTTTTCAGCCCTTAAGTACTTTCAATGTGCACAACATGAAACCTAGTTTTCAAAACTATGCTGTTACTCTATGATAGTGCAAGACAATGGCTGTGTCCGAATGTCATCCCTAACAACTATATAGGGCACTATATCATGGTTGCGGCCTTTTTAGATGAGTGTCCAAATGTCTAAGGGATGAAAAAGTATAGGACTCAACATTTTCCACAATGTACCTTGAAAAGTAGTGATTATCCATGGGCACCAGACAAGCAGATATATCCCAGAATGATTTGCAAGGAAGCATCACAGGATTTGTTGCCCCAGCGGCCCACTGTGACCATAGGCTGTCACTACCCTACAGCAGCGACAAATAACAAAGATGGCGCAGGAACAATGCAGAGTTACATGATCAACAGGGAGCGAGAAGTAGTGATGATCTGTCCAAAAGGTCGGTTAACTGAGTTCACAATAAAGTCCACTACTGTATATAGCCCCTGCACCATATAGTAATTGAGGGATTTAGGACAAAGCCAATGTGTTTGACATTGTAAAGACAGATAGCCAACCTCTCCTCTCTTCTTCCAACTTCCTTTTTTTTTATCCTGGGTTTTTGCTATTTGCATTAGTTTATTCCTGTGATTGTTGGCTGAAGTTTCTTGCTTCTATCCATAGTGATTGCAGCAATTTCCGTTTGCAGCATTTTATTTTATTTTTTTGCATTTGTTTATTTGTGTTTTTTGGACTTTGCATCATCCGTGTTTGTTGCTCATTTCGGTGTTTGCTGCATGTTTTTACAAGCAGCTGAAATTATATTTCTCTGCTAGTCAAGGCTTGGGCCAGTTTGGGATTGGGTTGGCATGGGAGTGCATCAGGTTTCCCACAAAGGGTCCATCACATTAAGGGCCGTCCCAAACCATGTAGGTGATAGGGCAAATGGATTGTTTAGCCCTTAAATATCAAGTCTGCAACAGTTAAGGCTCACTGGGGTTTGGCAGCAGATGTAACTGGGAATTAACACTAGCCTTCAAACGTAGGTTCCACAGGTTTGCTGCAATTTTGTCACATTGACAGAAAATCACAAGTTAGGAAAAAATAATTAAGTTGGCATGAATCCAAAAAGGGAAGGCCCTCTTTGAAATAGATGTATTTTACAGTAAAAATTCAATTATAAGAAAGGGGCAAAAGTTTGATGTCATGACAACCTGCGCAACAGAGCAATTCTTGCCATTTTACAAGAAAAACATTGAAATTGTAACAAAAGCAACTGTTGTGCAAAATCCTTGAAACTTCTCAAGGATTTTTCTCCAAATCCAAAAAATTTTATAGGATCCCTTCAGCTTTATTAAGGCATGCTGAGGATAGAAAGTTTGTCCTCTGCTTGAAGTGTCCTTGTCTCACCGGCTTTAGAAGTTTGCAGCAGTATCAAGCTGGCATTACAAGGAAGGATCAAAATAGCTTTTTTAATGAAAGAAACATTTAAATCAGATATTCTCATTATCTGTGTTACATTTAAAAGAGCATAATTAGGAAGACTCTTATGACTTTCTGAAAGATTTTTTTCACCAATAGGCCTATTACCAGTTTGTCCCAACATACACTGAGGACCCCATATTGAATTAAGTATAAAACTTATTATTATAATGTCATCTTCACCTCCTTATTTTTTTAACCAACTATTAAACTGTTTACTTTAAGTTTTTTCTAGTTTTTTTTTTTTTATTAATTGCATTCCTTAATCTTCATGCAGCTTTTCAGGAACACATTCTACTTCTATACAAAGAGGCAATGATCCAACAATTTGATTTGTGGTGTTGTAGGACAAAAGGGAATCAATGTGCTGTATTGACATCAGATAGAACACTGGCTGTAGATTCATAAATTTTTAAAGTCTTCTTCACAGGCTCATCTCCAGCTCAGACTGAGCTTCTGATCCCTCAATCCCACCTTGTCAAAGTAACTGGACACCCATTCATACAGAATGAGCTGCTCTAGAATAATTGAAAGTCAGCATCTGGCAGTGTTTTCTCATCATTTGTAATTCGCCAGTGTTTTGAGTGTGATTGACCTGCAGATGAAGTGTATCTCGTGGGTTTCCTCCTCCTTGTGGGCGGTGTTGGTCAAACTTTCGCCCAGAGCCATCAGACACTGAGCAAAGCCTTTGTAGATGGAGTGACACCTTGTGGTTGAGGCTGCAGAGACAGGACACGGGCTCAATGCTGGAGGACAGAGAAACATAAAACCCAGTGAAGTCATGTTATATTCATCACTTTGGAAACAAGTTTATTGTTGGTTTATTTTTTCAAGCAATTTATAAAAGAAAAATGATGAGAAATTCTGATGTTTATAGAGGTGATATAGTGTCCATTGATCTCATTTAGAATGTTCACTAAAGACTTGTAAAATAATGGATCCACCTAAATGAATGATATTATATTAGTAGAAATGTTAAAATAACGGACGTAGACGTATATTGCTTTTTTAAAAGTAGATAAATATTAAAAAACTAAACTAACTTACAGAATTCAAAATAAGACAGGGCCTAAGATATGACCCTGAGGGACTTCATATGCAAATTAAACTGCAGTTAAAGAATATTTGTATTTAAGAAGTAAAAGAATCCTGTCACATTAAAAACATATCCTTCTTTATTTCCAATATTAACACCAACCCAAATTTCTCCATAAAGTTACCAAATGTGAGTCTACTGTTAGATGGCTGTGGGATAGATAGAATAGAATAGGATTTTTTTATTGTTCCACAATGGGGAAATTGTGGTGTTACAACAACATTACAGTAAAAGTGGTGACACAAATGTGGACTTTAAAAGCGTAGAAAAAATAACAAAGCAACTGGCAGCTTAAAAAAAAATTAAAATAAACAAAATATATTACTACACTGTACTGTGTTTCTATAAATATATATACTATGCAATCACTCGAAGAATAAATAATCAATATACTGCTGGGGACAATTTTTCAATTATGGATATGGGAAAATAGCAGCAACACCAGAGATATTTCAGTGACTAAGACAGAAACTTTACAAAAATCAGTATGAATGTAACAACTTATTGAGGTTGTTGGGAACATAGATGGTTATAAAGTATTACAGCTGCTGGGGGGAAATATCTATGATAACCGTCCCTGGTGCATTAAGGGTGCAGGAGATTGTCACTGAACAAGCTTTCCAGTTCAGCAAAAGCTCTCCCCTTGTCAAAATTTGGTTAAAATAATCTAAATGTCATTAATTGGCAAGACTGCAGAGTCTTCCTGGAAACCTTGGGTCATTAGTTGGTCTTTTTGCAGGACAACTGTTTATAACAGTACTGTTGCTTTTTAAACAGGGATGTAAATATATCAAAAGCGGGGCCGTTAAATATTTGAGTTAAAACAATTTTTCTTCTTGTGAATACATGAGCACAGCCATATTTACCTACATTTCTTAGGATGCAGTTATGAGGATGATTTTGCTAAGGCATTAATCCAACTTTACCAGGCAGCCAATCAAAATGATTAGCACAGTAAATGCAACAGTGTGCAAAAAAAGAAAAACTCAAGAAAATTACAGGAAAAAGTATGTAACGAAACTGATCAGCTAACATGTGAATAATTTAACCTAACAGATATGTAATGTACACACCAGTACTGTCTTAAGTGACAAGTAATTCAGATATCATTTTGTCAATTGACAGCCCTGATTATCAAAACATTACTATTTGATTGTCACAACAACAGAATACTAAAACATTTCTATTGTTTAAGTGCTTTATGACAGTAAGTGTCAGAATAACATTTATTTCCTTCTTTTCTACATTTTTCCAAGGCATTGAGAAGCTGCACGCCTACCTCCTGGGTTCTGGGTCTCCAAAGTCATTTAATTTGTGCAGCTATTACCAGCGTCTCACATAAGCCCAGAGCTGTTTGCTAAACCACACACAAGATGGGGAAATTCTTGCACAGCTCTTAGTGGAATATTTGAGATAATAGTTAAGTGTTTTTCATACCATCTTGTGATTTGCGCATTCCTTTACAGGCAGCAAATACATAATCAGAGCTTTTTGAGAGTGTGGGCAGTGTGGTTTGAATAACCTGGTCTTGCCGTTTAAGAAAGAAACTGAATCCAAATCACGGCCCCTGAGAGTCGTGAAAGTTTTGTAGATGTAGCGAAATGAATCATAATCACTGGTTTTACCTTTCCCCTCCTCTTAACCTGACAGCTTTGATGCATGAAATCAATCAAAAGGAAATCATAATAGGAAAGATTCCTTTTTTCAAATAATGTATTTTTCTGGAATGCGAGGAAGAATTTAAAAGATCCGAGAAATAGTTTAACATGATGTTTGTGAATGCTTAATAAATAATAATGATCATATCAGGAACCCGTTGAACATGCACATCCCACATAGATTTTTTTATCATACCATAATTAGCAGTCTGAGGCCGAATGGGTTGTAAAGAGACACGAATCAATGACATTAGAAGGATAAGCTTTTTAGGTTCTACCTTTTAAACCTGGTCTGTGAAGCTGCATCAACAATAAGAAAGGCAAGGTTAAAGACATTTTTTTTTAAATAAGCCGAACTACCATTCTAAACCATACCCACATAAAAAAATACAAATAAAACATCCATCTGCCATGTGCAAATTATTTTTCACAAAATAAAAATCGGAACAGCTCAGAAATGAGCACACATTACCAGCTTATCAAAATTCAGCTCCAAATAAACATCCAACACCTTTTCAACAGTAAGGTAGGGTTGCTTCTGTGCCTATTATGCTTCAGAGAGAGACAATGCTTTAGGTGGAGGACAGATATGTGATTGATAAATAATTCATCATACCGTCCGGGTGTCTGCCACAACAAAATCAGCTGCCACAGCTGGAGATTGACACTTTAAAACGGAAACAAACATGTGTGACTGGCGCAAACTTTCTGGATTATTTTCGTCTGCTCTGTAGCCCACTATCTGATGAAGAATAAAGTGGAAACAAGAGAAGGTGCCATGGAAAAGTTTTCCTGCTCTTTTTTTTCTTTTCGCCATCTGTTGCTGGCTCCTGTCTTTGTTTGAATTCATCTATTTACTCTTTCATCTCAAAGCTTCAGTCTGTGAGGAACAACCCATACAGGTGACTGCCTGCTTTAATCAATTATAGCGTCTGAATAGCTGTTATTGCAGGTGTAGAGGCAGGGGAGGAGAGACTGGAGCTCAGCCTGATCAGTTAAACCAACATTTGTATAGAGATTTATTGAACTCCGAGTGGATCTAAAAGACAGACAGACAGACAGACAGACAGACAGACAGACAGACAGACAGACAGACAGACAGACAGACAGACGAAGTAAGATCATCCAATTAATTTTTATAAAGAATAAACTGACCAAAATCCTATTTAAATATTGGGAGACTCTTGATCGAAAAATAAAAACTTTATAATAATTTAGAGCTTTTTAATTTTTTATGAGAAAACATGAAAATACATATTTTTCCAATTTCTAATAAAACCTCTATTTTTTCAGCAGAGCATTTGTTAAATGTGTGTCACGACTCGGAACGTAGGTCCCAGAATTCAGGCAGACAGATCAGAGTGATTTCAAACAAAGCGTTTATTAACCGCTCATAACTCTGCGGCTCGTCAACTGGGGCAAGATAACTGGAATCTCTAGTTTATAAGTTAAAAGCAAGCCCAGAGGAGGGAGAGGAATCCTGTCGGATGATTTCTCCACAGCATGCGGCGGGAGCCGTCTAGAGAGTTCCAGGAGTGAAGCAGAGCAGACTGTCAAGCAAAAGCCAGCAGACGCGAAAGAGCGGTAATATCCGGAGGGAAAATCCAAAGTCAGTGTCGATTCAGGAGCAAATTTCAAGGCCAGAAGATCAGAGATCCGAAGAGGACCCAAAGGAAAATCCAAGTCGGGAGGAGACAGATCCAAGGTCGTTAGCATGCAGAACCCAAATAGTATTCCGAAGACAGGTCAGGCAAAACAGATCAGAACAGGGGCAGACAAAACTCAGAAGTCCAGGAGCAGAAACTAGGGATCAGGTAATTAGAAATATACTGTGTATGCTAGAGAACTCTCACACCTAATTTGGCATTGATGGCTGGGAACAAGCAATTTAAATAGGAACCAGAACAGGTGGATCTAATGAGTGTGAACAAAAACTGGGCAGAGCTAGACAGGTGGAAGAAATGAACTAACAATCCACTTATCAGTGCCAAGATCCTGACAATGTGGGTGAGTTCTCGGATCAGGATATCCAATGTTCCTTTTTTTTTACTGTCCAAATTTTTAAAATGAGAAAACACACATTTAGTAGAAGCTATCCGATGGAAACCAGTGAGTGGTGACAGGAGAGGCTGAGACAATATTACCAGAGTGTCTGTCGTCCCAGAGGAGCCTCTACTGCCACTTGTGACATACAGCTCCTCTGAAAGGGGACAGATAATTTTGGAGCAGGGTTTCCACAGAGCTAAGGTGGCCTTCTTCAGGAATGCGACAGGCACAGATGGATCATGTCATGAGTAGTGTACACGGTGTCGAGGATAACTCGTCTAAAGTGTGCGACTGTCGCAGGGAGGGCTTGTCAGAATGGCTAAAAGTCAGACTGGAGCTAGCGCTGGAGTCTGACAGGTGAGCAATGGATGCTGATTGGGTCAGACACCGCTTCGCCATAATCCGAGGAGACCAGTGGGTTCATGTTTCATAACAAGAATGTCTCCAACCTATCTTGTTTCTTTGTGTTTGACTTCTAGGAACACCATTGATTTAGTGTTTTTCTGTCTTAAGAGGTTGAAGATACTGTTTTCAGTCATGTCTATAAGGCTTTGATAAAGATTAGAGAAACACAGAACAGCTGGTCGGAAGGAGAAGACAAATGGAGGAGAATAAAGTGGATTAAAATGTATGGAAGCATTTGGAGTTGGAAAAATAACGTACAAAAGAAACACAATAGGACAGAAAAAAACATTTTACCGTGAAGGAAAGTTTTAAAGGACATTTATGAATCATGACGGAGCATCAAAAAGGCTTTTTTCCCCCAAAATATCGAACATTTAAGTAAAACTCTTTGTATTTTCTGGATATCTTGCAGAAGCATCAATGAGAGAAAATGTTATTTCTGAATACAAAAGATTAATTTCTTATCTGAATGTAAAAGGTTAAAGAAGCTACAGATTTGTGAAGCTGTGATTTTTCTGTATTTTGGGTTATCGCATTTCAA